ATAATGAATAAAATAATATATTTAATTAAATTAAGAAATATTATAAAACACCCAAAATATGGATTAGAAAACCATTTCCGTTTGCAATGAGATTTCGGTTGAAATAATGATAAACCAATTGAATAGAGATGACTGTCAGCACCCCTTACACGCCATTCAGGGGGTATGGGTTCACTTAAATCAATAGTTTCAGGCATTTCTATAGTTGTTTAATAATCGATAATATGAATAATATAGTGTACAATATGTAATAATACTGTATTATGTTAAATGATCTTTAAAACAATTTTTTAAATGTAAGAGGGCAATTTATATATTTGCAATATTATTATTCCAAACATAAGTTAATAGTTATTTCAAATAAGAAATTATGTTTATTTAAAATGTTTTAAAGCCATTAAAATAAATATTATTTTCAACAAAAATTGTTTATTTTATTTTATTTGTTTATTTTATATTTTACCAAATTTTTTCAAAACCATTATCTATAATATAGTTTAATTTTGCCATAATAATTTAGTTATTTTTAATAGTATTTACTTCAGGAAATTAATAACATTGATCAATACATATTCTAATTTATATCAATAATAAGAATAATAATAATATTTAATCCTATTCAAAATAAGTTATATGAAACATATCGTGCAAGATTTACTAAAGGTATGTGCGTATTTTCAATACATTTTAAAACACTATATCTTATGTGTATTTTGTATGAAGTTATGATGTTTGAAATTTTTAATGAAAAATCGCACATACCTTTGGTAAATCTTGCACTGATATGTTCATTATTATTGTCAATAATTTTAGATAACAATAATTATTCAAAGTTAATAACTATACTATATTGTGTATATATAGCACTTTAGAAATAAAAATATACAGTACATATTCATAAATATTAATTAAAATAACAATTTAATTGTTTTCAGTGACCTTTAAAAATAACAGAATTGTAAGCGAAATGATCTGTAAAATAAATTGAGATAAATACTCTTATAAACCTTATATCAAATAAAATACAATTTTAAATATTATCAATGTAGGTTAGGTTTTATTAAAATGTATCAAACCTCGTATCCCTTGAATTCATTTATAATGAATAGTTTGCAACAATAAAAGCCAATCCTTTTCACACCTACTGACTTTCACACTGACAATAACTAAAATACAATTAAAACATTTTTATAATAAGTTATAAACGTATGACTATATAAACTTGGAAACTAATTATAAACTGAATAAAATTTATACGGATGATAATTGGATATTTATATTTTGATAATAAGAGTGAATTCAATAAAATATATGTGTTGTTGACTTCAATGTAAAATTTGGATGAAATTTGGATTATAAATAATAGTATTGATAAGAAATAAGAAAACCCAATAGTCCCAGCTAGTTTAAAAATTATCGATACTTAAGTACTCATGAATCGAGACAATTGTATAATAAATGTTTGCTTTAATGAAATGATTATTTTAAAATTTATAAAAATTAATCAACACTTTTACGGGTAGTATAGGTAGGGAAGGAAGTCCATTGCTAACTGTTTGCCAGACTGTATCCAACTCATGGAGTTCTCAGAATCAACATAAGCAAACAGAATACCAGGGTCAAAACGGTTGAAACCAGAGCCGGTACAACTGAACAGTCCGTTCAGATTGTTTGTGTGAACGACATATAAAATGCCATATAATTGACGCAAATTCTGTAGACCCGGCTCTTTATTGCATTGATAAAAGTCAGAGTTATTGAAATATCTGATGGCATAGTAGGTTTGGCCTGACAGGGGACCGGTAGTTATGACGGCACTGTCGGTCAATATTAGATATCCTATGAAGTGGTATTACTTGTAATTATTTTTTATATGTAAAGAATATTCCTATTGAATTACCATTACTAATCGATGCAAAGGTCATGGTATTAATGGTTTCATTGATGATATCATTGGTCTTGTAGTGGATCTGATAAGTGAGTGTCCGGTTACTGGGAGTGGTCTGTATGATGGTATCGCATGTCCTGTTTCCATACGACTGTCCACTTCTCACTACATTTAAGTGCTAAAAGCCAGGCAGCAGGTGTTGGACAAGGAGGTGAACCTTTATGTGGCTCAGGAGTCCGCGGATGATAAGTCCGATTCTATTCTGTAAGTGTTGTAAAAGTTGTTGTCTTAAGAAGTGAACTGATATGCGATTTGTATTTCGTGTGACCGCTGAAGACATCAAGTCCAGAGTCAACTCAATGATCAACAGACAGAGAAAGAGCGTCTAAAACAACAACAAATGGATTTCCGGAAGAATGAGACACAACACCGAAAACAGCTGAAGATGTGGACCGACTTGAAGACACTGTTGGCTATTAAACAGCGGTGTCTGACGAGGGATAGGGAGAGGAATGCCATCAACGAGTACGCCATCAACAGTAGACCCGACCATCTGGTGCTGTGAGGGGTCAGCCATCACCAGTTGCCACAATCAGTTACTTATTGTATTTGAATTGAGATTCATTTCAATTGTATTTGCAATGAAATAAAATAATTTTATTTATGCTGACAACTGGTATACCGTTGAACCATTATACCATTATTAGTATTTTGTTTTTTATAAATGTGACAAGCACAATTGCCTTTTGTTATTTGAAAGTCAATTTACATTCAACATAGATCTAATATTGTATTATGCAAAGTTAAAAGCTATACAAGTACTTTAAAAAATAAACATCTACATATTAATAAATATTAAAATTTAATTGTTTTCTTTTATCTTTAAAAACAATAGAATTGTAAGCGAAATGATCTGTAAAATAAATTATCAGATAAATACTCATATAAACGTATCAAATAAAATATAATTTTTAATTTTAACATTGTTGGTTAGCTTTAGTAAAATGAATGCAAACCTCGTATCCCTTGAATTCATTTATAATGAATAATTTCCAACAATAAAAGCCAATCCTTTTCACACCTATTCTCTCCATTACTGACAATAACTAAAATGCAATTCAAATATTTGTACAATATAATTAAACTTAAATAGTAATCAGTTTCATTCTACACTTAAATGAATTATAAATATGTTTTTTACCTTTAATTTAAAAATAATTCCAAATTTATATTTTAATAATAAAAGTGAATTCAATAAAATATATGTATTATTGACTTCAATGTAGAGTTTGGATGAGATTTGGATTATTAATAATAGTACAAATGCAAAACAACAACAACCAATAATATTACCGACTTTAATAATTATATTAACATTACCACTAAATGCCAAATCACACGAAAAACTAATAATCGTACCAAAGGTTATCCAAACAATTAGCAAATATTTAGACCAATAATTATTGTTATATTCAGTAATTTCCAAATATATATCAAACAGATCTCCAATTACTTTTGTTATTATAAACAAATTGTTTTTTCTTTTATTGTAATTTTGTGCAAGTTCCTTGATGAATGTGTTAATAGAAATTAATTTGTATTTCAAATAATAAACAATAATATAATAATATAACAATTGATAAATAAGTAAACTAAATACGTAATTAATAAATATTGTCATGGGCATTATGTTGATTATTAGATGTAAAATAAAATGAATTAAGCTTTTTACATTAAACAAATAGTTTAAACACAGTATTTCTGTCACAATAATAAAACATATTAAATATTTAACGAATTTTATTAATTTTGAGAATTTTCGACATAATTTGAAAACCATAACTCTATCGCATAAACCAATACTTTTTGGAGCTATGAATCCACTAATCATTTCAAATACTCTCAAATCTGTCGGTTTTATACCATTCATATAGTTGTAGTAATTTAATAATATACACATTATACAAAATAGATCCACCGTAATTAATAAGATCGTACATATTACACCAGTGCCTAATATATAATCAAAGTTGCACAATAGTACATGAAATAGTTTTGAAAACTGTATATTTTTGTAGTTAATAATGAATAAAATAATATATTTAATTAAATTACTAAATATTATAAAACACCCAAAATATGGATTATAAAACCATTTCCGTTTGCAATGAGATTTTGGTTGAAATAGTGATAAACCGATTGAATAGAGATGACTGTCAGCACCCCTTACACGCCATTCAG